GTTGGAAAAGGTAGAGGGTCACAGAAAGGGAGGAAGATCCTCACCAAGAGGGGTAGACATAGTGATGGTATCAGTGGGTTTAAGTATATCAGAGATTTTGAGGATGGCAAAGGATAAAGCAAGGCTGTGATCTGTTGTTCACAGGCACCTAACAAAAACCATACTTTATTCGTACACGTTTGAGGAGGCGCTTTAGTTCTCCAGCACATATCCAGAGAGGTAGGCACTTACATCGAATAAATGGCATTCGATTGACACCCAAAGCAGGCAGAGAAGCCACTTATTTTCTCCATGTTTGACTCTGTTGTCTTCCCTCACTGTGAGCAACATGTCCACACCAACTGTGGCTTATTTTAGTGGGGTCTGTGTATGTTGTAAGCAGGAGTGGCATCCACTTCCTGAACAACATGCCTCTGGAATCTCTAGGAACTTTGATAAATGACGATAGTTAATGAAAGACTTCAGGCCTTTTGTTCATGAGGCTGCTATTGCCCAACAGCAGTCAGCAACAATGTGTGTGGCATATATTTTATTTCCTCCTGAAACGTAAGTGTGCTGTCAGAATTCAGCATTTCCACATAAAAACCACGAGATCACAAAGTAAGATGAGTTGAATGATACAGATAAGCTCTGAGCTCAATGTGAGACAATCGGACGTGTGTTTTGGCCGAGAGTGGTTGCATTGAATGTCTGTACCTGTTTTTCAATGGCAAATAGGCATGAATGTTTATTTATTCTAATGTGAAATTTCCTGACTCTGAACAACAGATCTGAACCTTGTCCTATCCTGCGTTATCCTCACGATCTCTAATATGTTTAAGCTCATTATTACAGCCACTGTGTCAGTCCATCTTGTTGAGGGCCTTCCTCTCTTTCACTGACCCTCCACCTTTCCGAGCATGGTGTCTTTATCCAAGGACTGACCCCTCCTCCTAACAATATACTCAACGTACATGAGACAAGTTTTCCAGATCCTTGCCTCTAAGGAACATGCTGGTTGTACTTCATCCAAGACCTACTTGTTTGGGTAGTCTATGGGATATTTGGTACTCTTCTTCAACACAACTCAAAAGCAGAGTCTTCTTCTGTCATCCTAGTCATTGTCTGACTTTCAGACGTAATTGAGAAGATGATGGCTTAAATCAGTTTCACCTTAGTCTTTAAACTACCATCATTGCTCTTTAGCTCTTTGGAAAGCTCCTTAACAGCAGATTTTCCCAGTGTGATACATCTTTTGATATCTTGACAGCTGATACCAACAGGGTTGATTGTGTAGTAAGATTAATTAATTGACAATTTCATTTTTTTCCTTCATCTATCATTGTCTGTCAGCCCAGTGGTGAGGATTTTCATTTTCTTGTTCTTGAGATGTAATCCATATCAAAGGCTGTAGTTTTTGATCTTCTGCAGCAAGCATTTCAAGCCCTCCTTGCTTTAAGCAAGCGAGGTTGTATCATTCACATATCACTAGCCTCTAATTATTTGGCAAGTAATATCCTCTGAATTGTTTCCCTTTTTATAATTTTAACTCAACTGCTAGCAAAAATATGTCATCAACTTCATTCTGTTTTTCCTTTGTATAGAAGTTATTTTCCACACACAGACATAGTACAACTCTTTTGGCCACATTGATAAGAGAGACTGGTTTTCAAACCAGGTGCCATTACCATTACCCACTGCCATCAAGCTGATTTCGACTCATCATGACCTTCTGTCAGGTTTCTGACACTGTAAGTCTTAATGGGAAGAGACTGTCCAACTTTCTTCCACAGAGCAGCTGGTTGATTCAAACTGCCAAGGTTTTTGGTTAGCTGCCGGGAGCATCAATGCTCTCCACTACCAGGTTTCCTTTTAAACTTGGCAGTGTGCACATAAGTATAAACTTGGGTAGATCATGGTCAGTCTTCCTATTGGAGTACAGTCTCCTCTTCAAGAATCTGAAATCTCTACTGGACATGATGATTAAAATATGGAAATTCAGGATGTTTCAGGAGGACAAGAGGACTTCTCAATTGGTGGTAAGTGAGCCTCAAGTGTGGTGGCTTTTTAGCAGATCTTTAAGAGGTACATTGGATTTTGACAAGGGCCAGAAAGAGTTCCTAGATGACATAAATGACACATACAGGTGCCCTCTGAAAGGTTAGAATTTCTTTTTTTTTTAATTTATTTTTTTCTATAATTATATTTTATTAATTTTCATAAACATTTACAGAGATTTTGGGTTTCCATTCATTCATTGTTGCACTATGAAAGGTTAGAATTTCTAAGTATCTTCAGGAACAGCTCAGAAGAAAGACACAAGCATCCACTTCAGAAAAAGAAAAGAAAAACAAACAAAAACCCAACAACTCTGAAAATCTGGAAGAATAGTTCTGTTCTGACACATGGTGGCAGCTGGTGAGGTGCAAAGTGCATTCCACGTGAAAGGAATTGTGAAAACAAAGACACGGAAGTGGGGAAATTCTAGCACATTGAAGGACTGGCCCACGAAAGAAAAGCAGAAATAAATCATCGAACAAGCAAACAAAAAGTAATTCTATGAAAAGAGAATGGCATAAAGCTTGTAAGATAAATTGAGGTTATATCACCACCACTGAGACCTTTATTTGCCTTTTATTTGGTTAAGTTCTCTACATTGTTGTTAAGGAGCTCTGGTGGCCTAGTGGTTAAGGAGCTGTGCTGCCAACCCAAAAGCAGGTCGTTCGAATCTGTCAGCTGCTCCACAGGAAAAATATTAATCTCCCATGCAATTTATTACCTCTGAAAACCCACTGGAGTGTGTTATAGGTCGATTCAGATTCAGTTACATGAGTTGTTATATATATACTGTTGCTGTGTGCAATCAAGTCTGTTCCAATTAAGAATAACCCTATCTCACAGAGCAGAACTACTGCCATGGGTTTGCTAAGACATAATCTTTACCAGGTTAAAATGCTCAGCCTCTAACCAAATGGTCAGAGGGTTGAACCTACCAGCCATTCCATAGGAAGCAGATATGGCAATTTACTGACTTAGAAGCCCAATGAGATAGTTCTACTCTCTTGAAGGGTCATTGTAAGTCAGAATCAACTCAGTGGATAATCCTTCCACTCAGCAGTGGGTAAGTTTACAAGAACAAACCACTGTGGCTTTTCACCCACAGAGCTGCTGAGACTGTTTCAGTGGCTGCCTTTTCCGCTAGGAGCCAAGTGCTTCAGCACTGAACTACCAGTCTTCCCTGGTTCCACTCACAATATTTGGCTTACGCCTGTTTTCATCATCTCGTGCCGCTCTAACAGAAATGCCATGAGTTGATGGCTTTAACAAACAGAAATGTGTTCTTTCACAATTTGGGAGGATGGAAGACTGAATTTAGGGCTCCACCTCTGGAGAGGCTTTCTCTCTTCCTGGGTCTGTTCCTTCTCTCCTTTCCACATCTCTGTGCTCGTGTGGTTTGGAGACCTCCATATGTTTTGGTGCCAATCTTCCCTGGAATCTAGGAAGGTCTTGTTGCAGAGATCCTGGATTGAAAGGATATGCTCCATCCTCACTCTTCTTTCTTGCAAATGCTGTCGTCCTTCTTCCTCTGCTTGCTTCTTTCTTCTAAAATAAAAAGTAATACAGCTGTGACCTGAGTAAGCATATTATATTCCACCTGCACTCCCTTACAACTGATTGGCTAGTCACATGGTGGAGCTGATGACGTCATAACATGACAGACAAATTACATAATTGTTTAACTGGTAAACCACTGAGAATCATGGGCCAGCCAGGCTGATGCATACTGGGGGTGGGATTGGCATGACAATTCAACCCAGGACAAAACATCTTTGTTGTTGTTGTTGCTATATGCCGTCAAGTCACCTGGGACCCATAGTGACCCTATGTACAACAGCTCTGAACTCTTCTCTATCCTGAGTCAACCTTATTGTCTCTGACTCACCTACTACCATTACCCCAGTCACTGAGTCAATCTATCTCATCGAGGGTTTTCCTTTCTTGCACTGTTTTTCCACTCTGCCAAGCATAATGCAGCCCGGAAATCAAATGATGAATTGCATTAGGAAAGTCTGCCGTCAGAGACCTCTCCTCTGCACTAAAGAGCAATGATATCAGTCTGGAGTCTACGGTGCGCTATGGTGCTCCTGACCCAAGCCATGGTCTTCACAATTACATGTTATGCATCGGAAAGCTGGACAATGACTAGGGATGATAGAAGGAGAACTGATGCATTTGAACTGTGGTGCTAGAGAAGCATATTGAATACACAGTGGACTGCTAGGAGAACAGGATTCATCCTGGAGAGGGTGAAACAAGGCTGCTCCTTAGAGGCAAGGAAAACATCTTTAGGGGGAAAATCGATCCAGCATCATTAAGGAGGATGCCTACAATGAGAATAGCCAGCCAAGCTTGGTGTTTGGGGGTATCCTTTGGTAGGCTAGGGGAGTTATCAAAAAGACCTGAATTAGCTGCTGCTGGTTCAGATTATAATCCATGTTTTTAGTTTGAAGCAAAATTTTCAACAATGCCTTGAACTTTCTTAAAGAACAGCCATCTCTAAGAGTCACAAGGTAAGGGCTTCCTAATTGACTTAAAGCAAAGTTCCCCTGATCTTTTCAGAAAGATGTCCTGGCTTCCAAGAACACTTATAATACAGATATTTAAAATGGAAAAACCGTAAGGATGGCAAAGCAGAAAGATATTTGCTACAAATATTTCTGAACTGATTTTAGCTGATTTATGAATAAATGATTATCCCAGTCCTGAGATTTAAATATTTAAAAGTTCATTCCCTTTTAGAGTTCATGTATAATACAGGGCTGGTTTTCTGTACTGCCAACTTCCATTCTTCATTTCCTCCTTTTTAATACACTGTAATTATTATTATTCTTATTGTCTCCTTTTTTCAGCATCCTGCGTGAAAATTATTTAAACATTGCACAGAAGTCTTTTTGTGAAAGAAGAAAAGGAAAGCCAGTTTGTGGGTCTCAGCAGGAGTTAAACTAACGCAGCTTAAAATAATGCAGAAAAAGAAGTCCTTATCTGCAGGCAGAGTGCCTCTGATTCTCTTCCTGTGCCAGATCATTAGTGCCCTCGAAGTACCTCTTGATCGTAAGTATTAACGTTTTAAAGCTATTAGGCCCAGGAGTCAAAACCTCCCCAGCATTTACCGTCACTCTGAGCTGTGTGAGTGGAGACGGTCTGTGATGCTGGAAAGCTAATCAAAATTAATTTGGCTTTTACCTTCAGCACCTGGTGTTTGTAAAGCCTCACCCCACAGAAATGTCCATGGAAATGGTTCGACTTATTGTCCTCTCCCTCCCATTATCTTCCTCCTCCCACCAGGTGCCTTTTATGTACCTTGAGGGGAGTTGGCCTGACAAGGAAGGGGCTTCAGGCTCCCCAATGGGCAGCTCTTTACTGAAGCAAATCTGTAGGAAAATAATAGGAATCACTTTGAAACGATCGTGGAGACTTCTCTACGAGCCACTTCGTAGACTGCTGGCCTCTCCCTTCATATACTGAGAGTGCCCTGCAAAAGTTTGTGATGGTCACTTGGCCAGCCTACACCTTCTGTGTCCACAAACCACTGCAAACCACTTCTTGTAATGATTTATTCAGATTGAGAAGATGATTTTCCATTTTAAGTATGATTTTTTTTTTAAAATAGAAGTCTAGGAAAATGTACCTTACTTATGTCTTCTCTGATTTCAAACCATGGTCACAGACCTACATGCAGATTTTGAGAGTCAAACAAGTAATCTACAAAAATAGCAACTCAAATGGAGCCAACAGCAACTACCGTCCACACAGTGCTGCACTCTTCCTGGTCTGGTGGCCTCTTTGTGACAAATAAAGATAGGTTCCAGCCAATCACTTTTCTTGCAAAGGAAAGCAGAATTTCAAATCTGGACAACGACTCTACTTCAGAATTGATTTCTCCTTTATCCCTAAACTGCACGACCTCTTTAAATCCATTTGCTTCCTGAATTGAACATCTGTTTGGCAAGCTTTACAAGAGGGCAAGGGAGATAGCGCTGGCCGAGGCCTATTCGGTTGCTGAGATGTCTTTTTTTTTTTTTTATGCCATATGAGTTGCAGCTGCCAATAGAAGACAGTAAAGAGAGATGTGGTTTGCTCCACATTCAGTTGACTTTTTCTGCTGGAAGCAGGAGTGGAATCCCTTTCTTAAACCACATGCCTGTGGAAACTATGAACTTAGAGAAACAACGATACTTACAGAAAGGCTTCAGGCCCTTTGTTCATAGGATCCCCATGAGTTGCACTCAACTCAGTGGCAGTAAACAACAACAAAGTGTAATAAGACAAAATATTTTACATATTTTTAAAAATATTTAAGCCAATGATGTTAATTTCAACTAAATCTATATTTATATGTGTACATACATACATATGTGTATGTATGTATGTATATGTGTATATACATACACATATAAATACACACATATATACTATATATGTGTGTGTATATATATATATGTGTGTGTGTGTATATATATATGTGTGTGTGTATATATATATATATATATATATATATATATATACACACACACAGACACACACACATGTATTCTATCTATCCAGCACGCAGTTTTGAAAACCCACTGGAGTGTTAGCTGTGAGTTAGCTCTGACTCCCTGGTATACAACAACACACACACACACATATATTTAAAATTCATCTATATCACACACAGAGACATATATATATATTTAAAATTCATATGTATGTATAGAAATGATTGATTGTGTAAGTCCATTGCAGTGGAAATACCTAAGCAAGCATGTGCCACAAGCAGAAGCCTAGGGAAGAAGGAAAGCACTTGAGAGAAGTGTTTTTGTTCTCTCTTGTGTTAAATATATTCTTCCTTAATCTGACTGCTCAATCTAACAGTCAGAGGGAAACAGTCACCTACGGCTAACTCAATTATCGCCGCTAATGGAGTAGAGGCGTGCCCCTGATGAAAAGAAAGTCAGGGATAACCCAGGCACTCCTGCATTAACCTTTGCAAGGAGTAATGACAGGCAGCGCTGTGGAATCGTCCAAATTGCATGCTAATGCGATTTCTCCGTTGGCCCTGTTCCTCTTCCTCCTTCTCCAAGGGAGCTGCTTCTTGGTTTGGGCACCAGCAACTGATGGGAGATTGAAGAAGTCTGAAGAAGAAATAGGCTAATGGTCTGGAGAGTTCAATTACAGACTTGATGATTAACCATGGCAATCTAAAATCATTGGTAGACATGCCCTAGATGAAGCAGTGTAGCAGTGGCCCATTGTTAGGTATTATTACCATGTGCATAGTGATGTCTGGGATAATAGGATCAGACACTACACAGGATGTGACAACTCAGATTAATTGTAGATTTCAGCTTTTTTTCAAATTGGACCTAATTACTTGCCCAGCACAACATGTATGGAATGGAATTAGCCATTCCAATTCCTGGCTGAATGGCTTTTGCCTACAGCATTGCTTTTGTCTGTCCATATGTTTATGTAGATAGATAGTGTAGGAATAGCAACAACAACAAAATAAACCCACCCATTCTTTCTCTTGCAACCTCACAACTTCAACCCTTGCTATACTGTTTTGTTGTTTTTTTTCCTTTTAGATCAAATCAAATAGACGAGATGCACCTTTTATCTCCAGGGTTCTAACGTTCTTATTACTAACATGATTTTTCTTTAATCCTGTTTGCCCACTCCTCTGCTGATTTTGATGGGGGAAAAGCAAAACTTCTTGAAGATTGTAAGTGTCTTTCTACAAATTACTAGGCAGTGTGGAAATTTGACCTTGTCTTTATTTTCCCTAATTAATCCTCTGAATTAACTGCATGATGTTCCGTTTTGTGGCGGGTGTCTTTTTAAGCATATGTGTTTACTGTGGCTAAACCTTGTATTTATATACTACAAAGTACACATAATATGTTACCTGCATGAATTCTGGAGGCTCAGGTATTGCTGATTTCCTTTACCCATATGCTGTTCTACTAACACCTAAGCTCTATTCATATCTGATGTAACGCAATGAGAAAACTCACAAAATTTCAAGAAAATGACTCATTAGTCCTCCAAATGCCATTAAGTGCTCACTGGAGTAAAGGCATGTCTTTGGAGTTGTTTAGAAGGTGGGTGTACATCATTCTTGAGCCTGCAGTCTGTATAGACTACTGTCCACTGGGGTCATCGGCACAATAACCCAGTAAATCTGATGGTGGTTTTGAGGTGCAACAGACAAAACGGACAGTCCCTGCTCATGTCATTTCTAAGTGACTTCCTCTAAGTTATTTGTGGTTGGGTCAGAACCAACCCATAGCTGACCCTCCAGAGGGTTTTCAAAGAGAGCAAATTGCATAGGACAAGATTGCCTACCCTTCTCCCATAGAACAGCTGCTGGCAGATTCAAACTGAATACCTTCGGGATTGCAGCGCAATGTCTTCCCCCGCCCAGGCCACCATAGCATGTAACATAGGCACATATTAAGAATTTTGCATAAATGCTTTTATTTCATCTACTCAACTACCCTAAAAGAAACAGGCCCCTCAAGCTCATTGCCATCAAGTTAAAACTGAGTCATCGCAGCCCCTCCACTGGGTTTCTAAAACTATAAATGGCCTGAGAGGAGAGTGCCCATTTTTCTCCCTTACCTGCCACGCCAGAAGGTTAGAGAGAGAGTGACAGGAGGAAGACGAGACTCTTCAATCCCATTTCTACCCAGAGGAAACAAAACCTTACAAAACTAACAAAACTTGCTCTATATCTCTCAGCCAGTAACACACAGACTAGTTCTTAACCAGCAGAACTAACTGCTTGCCAGCAATAACAACTGACAGGACTAGGAAGGTGAGGGTCCACACATAGCTGTGGAGGAGAGAAGAGCGTTAATGTATCAGGTAAAGGACAGGGAAGCTAGGCCAGTGCTAAAGGGAGAGAGATTGAGCTTCTCCTAGTACTTGCTGCTGCGAATTGTCTCAAAGCTGACCCTCCAGCAGGTTTTCAGAGGCAGTTAATCACACGGGAGGAGATTGCCCATTCTTCTCCCACAGAGCAGCATGTGGATTTGAACTGAATGCCTATGGGTTGGCAGTGCAACGCCTTACAATTAAGCCAGTAGTAGTGATTTATTGGCACACTTTAAATGATAGTGATAGCAATAAAAAAAATTTTAAAACAATAAATAAATAAATAAAAATGATAGCAATAAAAAGCTTAACTTTTGATCTAGTCTTTTGGTGTTGTTGGGATATTTAAGTAAGAAATATCTAATGGATAGCAATGGAACAGGAGAGAAGGGAGAAGCGCAGGCCCATGTTTACCCATTCCCAAGACACTCAAAATAGAGGTGATTAATTACATACTTTAACAATCTGTGATAGTAAAAAGCCAAGATCAGAGGAGGATGACCCGGTTTTGGACAATTTTGGTAGGCTGGAAGAAGTCTCAGAAAGCCAGTAGAGAGCCTGGGTAGAAAGGAAAAGGCAGAGTCAGGTGATAAAATTATCTGAGCCAGAGGGCCCAGCACAGCAATGAAGGAAAGGAGTGTGAGAATCCCAGAAAGTGGTGAAGAAGTTATGGGATGCTAGGGAAAATTCCTGGGGCAGAGCCACTGTGTGGTACCCTTCCAGGGAAACCATTCATCCTGTGGTAGCTGCTAGCATTTCCCAACAGGTGCACCACTGACATTTGTCACCAGAATTGTCTTTATCACAGTGAGCTCTTGAATACACCAAAGGGTGTTGAGCGGCATCCTTGGCTTCCACCTGCTATCTGTCACTAGCACTCCCAGCTATGACAGTCACAAAGGTATCCAGATACTGCTTCCCGTTGAGAACCACTGGTCAATGTCAATAGTTCTCTCTGGAATCGGACAAGATGGTAGATCTCTACTAGGAGCTAATTGGGAAGGCTTACTTTTCTGCTTTGTATCTTCATTGGCAAGTTATTTTGCTGTGTTGAGCAACAGAAAAGGAATTTGTTGTTGCTATAAGGTGTGTTGACACTGAAGGTGATTTCTCAGTCCCTCATGCACTACCACTCTAGTTTTGTTCTCTTACAACAATTTGAAAAGAATCAGAGGTACAGAGGCCAGGAAATCTTCCAATCAGATTGTTCTAGGTCAGAACAATTTCTTCCCCAAGATTTGATAATAAATGCTCAGTGTCACCCCAGAAAGTGCAGTGTAGATAGTGACTCCTGTAACAGCTTCCTCGAGCCAGTTTCGCTTCTAAATAAGATTGTTTTGTCTTCATACCCACTTCACCTACCTTCTGCCTTGAGTAAAACATGTCAAGTTTCCAATGATGCAATCTTTTAAACATTAACTTCCCAAATTTATTTGTTGCTAAAGAGTATTAACTTGGATTGCCTCATTAATGAACTCTAAGGGAGTTAATCTTTCCTAAAGAAACATACATTTAGCTCCCAACTTTAATTCTCTTGAAAGACATTATTTGAACTGAAGTATCCATCAGAGGATTCTCTCATTGTTACATCAGAAAAGAAACTGTCTTAATCTTTGGCTTATGCTGTGATTCTTTTTCTCAGTTTTGAGCGTGGAAAACTGTGTGTGTGTGTTTGAGTGCATGCAAATAAAAGGAAGTGGTGCCTTCAGTACTCTGTCTGAAATACCTTTTAGTAAAAAACTTACCAAACTGCGTGCCACCAGAGAGGAATTTATTAAAAATATCTGAAGCATATATAGCCTCAGGTAAAAAGTTTTTCTATAGAAAGGAAGACGACTTCAGTGGTTACTATTATGACATTAAATGATGTATTTGTTTGTTTTACTTTGGTTTTATTTCTGCACTGAAGTGGTACAACCTCCGACCATCACTCAACAGTCTCCAAAAGATTACATTATTGACCCTCGGGAGAATATTGTCATCCAGTGTGAGGCAAAAGGGAAGCCCCCTCCAAGGTAAGTGTGCTCCTTTCTTGGTTGGACAGTTTCCAGTGCAGGTGACTTCATAGCACCCTTGGGTGCATCTACTCAACTCCCAGATCCCCTTCAGAGTCTGAAGTTGACTTCTCAGATTAAACCTTTCCTTAGAATATCATTTAAAGGTTCGTTGACTATATGCTTAATTAAAATCTGGGGGATTTTTCTATTAATCTTGGATTGAAAACTTATCCACTCAATATTACAAGGTTTTGCAGAAGCATTAATTAGTAGGATTAGAAGGGAATTCAGAAGTCCTTTAGGTCTTGTTTTATGTACAATGTAAAACGTAAGCTGAGAGTGGTGAAGAACGTGTATCCAAAGACAGGGCAAACGTTGTAAACTCCTGACCACTGACTTTCAGTCAAAATTCTTTTTGCCAAATAATGTAATGTCCTAACTACACAGTGTCTTATTTGAAGTTTGGGTTTTGTTGTTTGTGTTTTTGTAAAAAAAAAAAAGGTATTTAAAAGAAAAAAATATCTAGAATTTTTTTTCCTTTCTTAAAATCCATTATTATTGCATTTCTACACCCCTGTTCTTCTGCAGAATGCTCACATGGTGGGAGATGAAGAGTCTTCTTTTTTAAAAAAAGTTATTTTTTCCTACAAGTTCATTTACAAAATTCAAATACAAATTCAAACAAATTCTTTCCATTAGAAAGAGTCTTTTAATTGTATCTGGCATTAATGGCCTTTTGACATGGACAAGTCTCTTTTCTCTGTGCTTCATTTTCCTCATCGGTCAAATCAAGAGGTTGAATCTGATGGTTTCTAAGAACTCTGCTAACCCCATGTGCTCCCACGGCCACCAAATCCATCCCGCCCCTCCTCATAGCTGCCCTGCAGGACAGGGTAGGACTACCCTAGAGAATCGCAAGGGTACAGGTCATTATGGGTGCGCCTCGCCTCCCCTTTCTGCATGGAGCAGCTAGTCAGTTTGAATCACTGACCTGTTGGGAGCAGCCCAGTGCTTCCACAGGGCTCCCTCTCGTTAGTTGGCCACACCACCACCACAGCTCCCTCGAGTCCGGCCCACTGCCATCAAGGCAATTCTGATTCATAACTCCCCACTGATGGGTCCCTGAGGCTGTCAATCTTTATGGAAAGAGACTGTCTATCTTCCAAGAAGCAGCTGGTAGGTTTATTTGAACTGCCAGCCTTTTGATTAGCATCCCAATGTGTTATATGCCATCAGGCCTGCTTTGCTGCTGCTGCTGCTGCTGTTGTTAGGTGCTGTAAAGCATGACTCATAGCAACCCTGCAAGCAACAGATCTGAATCCAGCCCTATCCTGGGCCGTCTTCATAACCTTTGACCCACTCGAGTCCACAGCAGCAGTCACTGTGTCAATCCACCTGGTTGACGGTCTTTCTCTTTTTTGCCAGCCCTCACCCTTTCCAACCATGATGTCCCTCTCCAAAGAAATAGGCTCTTCTAGCAGAATGCCCCAAGTGTGTGAGACAATCACCTTTGTCTCCAAAGAGCACTCTGGCTGTACCTTTTCCAAGACATATCTATGTGTTCTTTTGGAAGTCCATGAATATTCAGTACTCTTCTCCAATACACAGCTTGAAGACATTGATTTTTCTTTTTTAGAATTTCATTCTTCTATATGCCTGCTTTGTTGTGTTGTTGTTGTGTACTATTGAGTCAGAACCAACCCATAGCTGACCTTCCAGCAGGTTTCCAGAGGCAGTTAATTGCACAGAAAGGGATTGCCCATCCTTCTCCCATGGAGCAGCTGGTGGATTCGAACCACATGCCTTCAGGATTGCAGCACAGCTTCTTGCCACTAGGCTACCATAGGCCTGCTTTAGTGGTCTGTAAATAATCCTAATTGGCTTCCAAACTTAGCAGGATTCAGTTCTCAATAGTCTCCATTTGATTTCTGGCATAAACACAGAGAAGCTTTGCAGAGTTGGGAAGGATGTTAGAGATAACCTGACCAACCAATATCTTTTATAGGTGAGAAAATCAAAGCCCAGTAATGCTAGATAATTTGTCCAAGACGATGTAGATAATGGATTAGCCCTAACTTTCCCAGTAATATAGGAGAGCTGGATGATGATGATGACTAAATTGTCATGTGGACTTTTAAATTAAAGAAGTGGAAGCTTCTAAATACTATGTGTCTGAGTTTATCTATTAGAGATCTCGTTAGAATACCATAGGTTTTATCCCCTGAGGAAAAAAGTAACCTGTGTTGATGCCTAAGCAGGAACCTCTAGGTGACATAATCATTTACGCATTGACCTTTCAAACCCACCCCAAACACCTTTCAGATAGCAGCCTAACACTTAATCCACTGTGCCACCAGGCCTCCTGGACTTGCCGTATTATGTACGTTTACTCTCTCCTTAAAACTAATGAACCAACTTCTACTCATAGTGATTCTTCGTGAGTTACCCTCACTGCTGCACGTGCAGACTTTAAATCATTGGCAAGACTTCAAGCCTTTTTCTTGCACTGAAATAAGGCTATAAAGAAGAGCCATCTGCCCTCATTCTGATTAACCTGTACATTCAACCTAAGGACACACTTACGAATGGATTTCTTTCATAACCTGAGGACCGCCTGTCTTTAAAGTAATCCCTCCCTCTAACCTAGACTTCATGTTTTGGTATCTTGAGACTATATATGTAGCTTGCTGAAGCTTTTCCTGTCACATTTCAGCCCAGAGCAAAGTTTTATAGACAGGTTATCAACTCAATGAACAGTGGAGTTTACAATAAAAATGCTAATAAAGCTCTAAGAGCTTATACCTGGGAGATTTGCTTCCTTCCTGCTTTGACCCCCCTCACTTCGTTTGAAAAATGACAGGCAATTTGTGTGCATGATTCCCTTATTGAGTCAGATTTGGGCTGGTTCTAATGAAAACATGGCCCCGGAAATGTACAAACAACACTTTTTATAAGTCATGATTCAGTGAAGCATTTTATCAGGCACAGCAATTGCTCTTTTATAGGATAATAAATCCGGTACTTACCTCCAGAATCCCACAGAACTTCTAGGAATTTGTTTAAAAATAAACACTTGTATTTTTCTAGACCATTAACCAGTTTAACCCTTTGTGTGTTGAGCAGCTTCTCCTGGACTCGTAATGGGACGCACTTTGACATAGATAAGGACCCTCTGGTTACCATGAGCCCTGGCTCGGGGACCCTCGTTATCAACATCCTGAGTGAAGGGAAAGCTGAGACCTATGAAGGCATCTATCAGTGTACAGCGAGAAATGAACGCGGGGCTGCAATTTCCAATAACATTGTCGTCCGCCCATCCAGTAAGTGAGACTTGTCAACCGGCATTGCTCTGAGATGCCACGTCTATTATATCAACTAATCACCATTACCAGAAAATAATGGAATTGCTTCCACAGTTCTGGCTTTATTTGGCATGAAAATTATTACCTTTCCACGCCTTGTTCTATCAAGTTCTTCAACCTCATGCTTTTTCTGACTCAGTATATCTTTTACACAGGTGTCAAGAAAAAAAATAACGTTGAGCAAAATGGATTTGGGTTCAATTTCTGCCCACTTCCCATCCCATCCTCACTTCATATCCCCTAGTTCCCTCCTTCCCAGGTGACTCCTCCTTCAGACCCCCACATGAGGCTTCCAGTTCCTGGGATCTTTAGGGCCAACCGAACACACACTCAATCGGGAGGCCCCTGGGGGAGTAGGGTCCTGTGTAGGCCTAGCCTGGAAGAGGACTAGGATACTGGTGACACTATCAGCGGGAGCCCACTGGCTAGCAAGAGCCTCTGAGGAGCCACAGCCTTCAAGGTTGAGAGCATTGATGCAGGCAGATGGGGATGGAGCTGTTTTGCAGAGCTTTCTAAAGAGCAGCCCAGAAAACAGCCTTGGGAACCATGGAACCCACTTGCAATGATTGGGCCCCTGGAACCTGCTTCACACCCTAGTGCCAGGTCATTGGAGTGCTGAGTGCCTCCGAGATGGCTTTTGATTGTCCCCAGAGGAAATGAGCTAGGCCTCCAGACCTAATAAGGCGAATATGCTCCCCGTGGAGAATAGCTGGTTCCCAAGGACCCAGGAGACCTGCAGTGAAGAGGAGAAGAGCCAGCAGCAGGCCCTGCACTGGGTACTGGGCTTCCAGGAAGACGACCAGGAGGAGTTGATGTGTGGATGTGGCATCAGGTTAAGCAAATGCTGTGCAGGACTCAGATTTCTGAAGGAAGGGGAGAGAGCTCTGGGGGCAGAGCAGAAATGGCTGTTTCCCAGCCTCCTGCAGAGTGGCTTCCCTGAACACCTCTCTCATTATGATCCCCAGTGTCCTGAGGAGAAGGCGTGGCTGCTGTGTCCTGGGCCTTGTTCCTGTTTATGAGCCTCTGACTATGAAAGGGAAGGAAGTGAGGGAATTATGAGGATTCCTTTATACTGGGAACTGAGAAACTCCCACTAATGGTATGGAGAAGCTGGCCTGGGAGTTCTGGTTCACGGTCAGCAGTCAGCACCCAGAACCTCCACAGAGGCGGCCTGGTCCTCAGCAGCACCAGTGACCCAGCCCTGGCCCAGGCCAAGGCCAAGCTCTCCTTCTAGGTGTGGGACAAGGATGGCTTTTCCAGTGACCTTCAATTCAGACTGCAGGTTATCATTACAGATCACCTGACTGGAAGCAAGTAGGGTCGGGTCCAGGTGTCAAGGTGTCAAGTCAGAGACTGCGCTGTCACCTCCAAGACCAGGTGGATGTGTCCATGATGGACTCACCAGACCTCCCCTTCAGCATCTCCGAATGGGCGGGTACCTGCCCAGGGAGAACATCAGGGACAAGGCAGAGCATGGGGCATGTGCGCTGTTATCTACTCAGCAGGATCTCTGAAGTCTTCCCAGCTGGGTGTCGAGATTTATGTTCATGATGCCATCCTGAGGTTTAATGCGGCACCCACAGCCAACTTCCAACAAGATGTGGGGGTAAAAACTACCATTCACCTGATAACCTCTCAGTCAGTCGCCAAGGAAGAGAGCGTCCTCAGTTTATCCGATGAAGGGATCCTCAACATGTGGAACCCCTCTTGGTACCACTCAGATATCTCAAAGCGATACCAACCAGTATCCCAACTTCAGTTGCTTTGATAACTACAAGAGCTGTAGGCAGATGCCTCCCAATCAGCCCTTTTATGTCTTCAGGCCCTAGGTGTCCTGCAGACGTAGAAGATCCTTCAAGAATTCTCCCTGGAGGAGATTCAGCCCACCCCTACCTCCTCTGGGATGACTGACATCATCTTTGTGATGACACTGTGTGACCAGGTAGACACTTACGAGTTCCTGCCCTCCAAGTGTGAGACTGGCATGTGCTACTCCTACCGGAGTTACTGCAACAGGGCCTGCATGGTAGGCACCTGCTGCCCGTTCCTCTACAAAGAGAGCATGGTGAAGCACCTGAACCAGGACACAGATGAGAACATTTACCTGCATGGCAGAACCACACAGTCTGGCTTGTGAAACAATTACTGCTGAACACAGTCGTCCTGGCTGGGCTTCTCAGTCATTTGGCTACCCTGAGCCTGGGAACACCCTTCCTGTGCAATCCCAGCCTGCTGCCAACATTCTAGAGCCTTCCATCAGCAAAGCTCTGGGGCTTCAGGGATCCAAGAACTAGGTCTAACCTTTCCTGAAGCCACAAAAAGATGTGTGAGCCCATCCGCCCAGCCACATGCTTGTATACGTAACATTCTTTCCAAATAGAGATTTTTCTTCCATGTTTGCCTATGGATGTTTACAACTAGACTAATCTTTCCAACCAGGGATACCAGACTGAGCTGTCTGCCTCTCTCCTTTGGGTGAAATTGTCATCAAAAGCTAGCAGTCAATATTGCTTGGGATTGATGACTGGATATTGATTACATGTTCTATAGGTATTCTCCAAAATTATAATTGTGCACGTTACAGGGTAACTCACAGGAGCAAGTGGTCCAAGGCACAGGAAGTGTGCCTAATCTCTCTGGAACAGGGTTTCTCCCAACATCCATGGCTTTCGGGTTATCTGGAAGAGGCTGTGCTCCTGTCTGTCTGGCAAGCTTGGCTGGTACTTCCCCTCTTGATTAGCCTGCCTCCCACGCCAGAGGAGAAGAGACAGAAGGATGTGGTCTCTGGCTTTACGTTGGAGCCTCGCTGAGGAGAACAGCCTGTACACAGGCCGTTATGACTCGGTGTGGTCGCTACACTGTGCTGGGGGAGACGGGCTGGCTGGCCGGAGATGTGGAGGACATCAGACCCATTGTGTCTGGGAGCCAGAGCACCACCTAGTCCTGAGGACTTTTGAGAGAGACTTGTAGGTAGAGGAGAATCATGTAAAGCCGCTATTGCCAGGGTCATTTTAGTTGTATTTGCCTTTCTGTCCTTGTCACCTTTGCTTATTCTGGAAATTCTACCCAACGTTACAGGCACAAGGTAGTTTTGGCAGCCCTCTGGCAATCATCAGGCAAGCGAGAGGCCAAAACCTCAGTTTCTCTAGACCTGGCCTGGTCCAGTGTACCAACTGGATTAGCACACTGTACACCAAGTCTTCCTCATAATGCTGATCTCCGATCTCCTGCTACCTGCTATCTTTTGTTTCCCTTTGAGAGTCTCTCCTTCTTATTCTACTTTTAAGCATTTTCTGCATGAAAAGAGTGTCCTGGCCAGGTTGCTTTGACCTCTGTAGAAGGGCTGTCTGAGAGCAGTGGAGTGCTCCCCTAGAGCGTAACGCCACTTGCGGAGAGTCGGGACCTTGGAGATCCTAACTGGTCCCACACTTGCTGTGCAGTTGGGGAGTATCAGATGGTTATATCCTCCACTCTCTCTGTTCCCAGGGAAGCGACATCAGTTTCTCCCCCTGGTCCCCAGGGACCATTCATACACGGTTGACATATTTGTACCAAGTCTCCCCTGTTGAGAACCACACAGGACTAACTGGGCCCTTGGCAAGATGTTAAATGACTTCCTCAGAATCCCAATGGCATGCAGTGGAACCGGGCTCCAAGCTCAGGGTTCTGAAATTCTCAATCCAGCCCCATATACTCAGTGGGCTCCAAGGTATGAGCTGGAGACAACTGCCTGGGAACTGGGACCTCATTTATTACTGCCAAGCTCCTGCTTTATCTTGGCGGTGGAAAGGATTCGGAACTGAGAAGCCCCAAGTTTCCAAACAGCTAGTCCTCTACTTAGTACCTATGCCTCCTTGACAAATACCGTTCAGTGAGCCTCTGTCTTCCTATCTGTTAAACGGAGACAGTGAAAGCTCACAGGATTGTTGTGAGGATCCTATGAAGTCACCTCTCCTGGCTCTGTACCTGGTATGTCATAGGTGCTCAGATCACCTGCTCTGTGCCTCTTCCCGGGCCGAACTGTATTTTGGCTGCTGGCGTGAGCAGAGAGGGGCCTCGGAGAAGTGGGAGACTACACCATCCAGGAAGCAATCGCAGTTCCTCACTGGTGGAAGTTCAGGTCTGATTTTGCTTGGGAATGAGTAAGAATTCTGGCCACTTGACTGCTCTCTGCAATGAGTCTTGTACGGTTCTCATCTTGCTTTGGGTTTGACCAACTCACTGTGATCTTTCCATCTTGAACACCAACTGTAGATGAGAGTGTTCCTCAGCAGGGAGACTGAAACTTTTCTGTGCAGATGCTAGTTCCCCATTTTTCATTCATGTAAAAGGTCAAATTAATTAAAGTATGATTAGAGTAGTGAGCTCAGAAATTTTTAATTCTGTATTCTTTCTATATAGAAATTCTTATAAAATGCACATTATAATATGGTGTTACTGTTGGTACAATGAGCTATTTAATATTTTACAGATGATTTTTAAATGCTGCAGGGAGGCCTCTGTCTTTATGGGGTTCTGTCTTCTTCAATAACCAGCTCGTCATCCTATATCATAAATTTCTTTAATTATTTTCCAAATCTAATAAGCTATTTGTTGATGTTAGTTTCACATTGAGACATCATTTTCGGAAGCTTTCCAAAACATGCCTGAACTAATTCCAGATTACCCAAAGATTATGTGCAATTTAAAAAAATTCAAAATAAAAATGTTTCTTCTGAGAGTCTAATTAGCTTTTTCTCACATATTTTATGCACAAACTTACTCTGTCCTGTGGAAATAAATTAGGTATGATATAGGTCATTGAGCTCAGAGTCCTATTTCTTTTAACACTTTTGTTTTAAATTTTCACAGAAAATAGAATAGCCTCAATACCTTGATCTTATTGTATTCCTATTGTTTGGTATTATTTTTCTTTTCTTATTTTTCCCTGCTGATTATTACCTAAGTCCTCTTAACAATATCATGATAATGTATTAATCCAGCACTGGTAATTTTTTTCTTTTAAAAAGTCATTTCATCTGTAATATGTGTTCATTATATAAGTTACAAATAAATAAAAATATTTTAAAATTACTGACGGATTATTATTAATAGGGAGGTCTGGTGGCCTAGTGGTAAGAAGCTTCACTGCAATCCTAAAGGCACATAGTTCAAATCTACCAGCTATTCCACAGGAGAAGGATAGCCAGTCTCCTCCTGTGCAGTGTACTGCCTCTGAGGGTCAGCTATGAGTCAGTTCTGATTCTATGACGCACAATAATGCCACCATCAATAATTACTACTAAAATTTCCAAGTCAGATATGCATGTTTATATGTATTTATGTGCTTTAAAATGAGCTAATTTTGAAGTTGGTTTATTTTTTTTTTTTTTTAAA